GAAAATCTTTCAAAGGAAAAGGTTAATACATGAAAACACAAAAACAAGACACAGCGCAAATAGAAATGGGAGAGAGAAAAACGTGTTCAGCGACACGAATAAGTAACAAATACAAGAAGGAGAAAGAGAAATTCACTGTGATAACAAACGAGTTGTCTACACATAAGAAAATGAACGAATATAAATCTTACGTTTTAATAGTTATATTTTGCTGTCTTTTTTGGTTGATGATTCTTGTTTGATATTGTTCAACTTTACCAACTTGTCAGACCGATTATTGATCATCGAATATGATCTAATTTGCGTGCTAAATATTGATATTCATTTTCCGATAGCATGATGCAATATCATTTATTGTGCGATATGTCCATCATAGTGGGTTACGAAATCGAGTGTTCTATTCCGATTCTCATTGACCAGGTGAGAATCTGATAAAAACAATTAAGTTTCGTATAATAGAATAATAGATATTTGCTAAATTGAATATAATAGCCCTTCATAATCAGTGAGTGAGGGAAACTCATGCTCCCCGATCATGCTATGCTAAATCATATTTAATCAACAAAATTTAACATCAGAAATCATATAATATAACATCATTTTAATAATGATTAATCATTCCATGTAATTCCACACATATTTTTTTAAATTCATTGTTTCAACAACAGATCTCCAGAACCGTACGTTTATTTGACTACTGCAATTATCATATCAATAATAACGAACAGATAATGTATGCTTTTGATATGTTTAACGAAAATTTTTTTTTTCACTGGATTATTGAGAGAGAACGCTATTTGCTTGCATAATAAATTAATACGTCATAATCTTACCACGAGTCTAAATTCAATAGAGGCTCTCATCCGTATATATGGTAAAATAATTTTAATGATTTTAATAAATTTCTTGTTCGTTAATTTGCATGTTGTTGTTTTGCCAGGATCGCCAAAAATGTTAGCGCTCACGAAGAGCGACGAACACAGTTAACGAATGTGTTATATTCTCTCTGTTTATTCTGTTAGAAAACAAACGTTTAGATACGCACGCGAAAACAAGGACAAGAAAAATAGAGAAAAACGAAAAGACAAAAGAAAAGAAATAGATCAAAAGGTATATATGTTATAGTAGAATACACCCTAACACCTTCCAAATAGATTTATTTGTTAATATTGAAACAAGCAAAGGTGGACACTGTCTACCAATTTCTGCTACAGTATTTTGTGAAACTCATGCATTTTTTTCGAAACAATAATAGTGAGATTAAAGCAACACTCACCCTAAAAAGAGGTGGCCAGACGAATGATAATGAATATCTTTCTGATAGAACAAAAACGAAACGTCACTAATATCTGTGCTTAGATCAATCTGAAAGTCTACGGGTCCTCCCAGGTAGATTGTTATTACAGGAACCGGCAGGGAAATCGGCGTGCCCGGATGGAAACACTCCGGAATCGGAATTCATGCTATCCCATGCTAAATTATTGATTTTGTCATTGTTTTCCTTCATACCCAGGTCGAAAATCTGACGCAAGATCCTATGAAGCACATACAAGATCTTGGAATACGGGCGAAATCTTACAAGAATCTGACAAAAAATCGTAGTTCCTGAGATCTGAGATTAATTCGCACAATCAGATTCTTGAAAGATCTTACAATATGATTGCTCGACCTGAGTACTTCTGACAGGATCTATCCAGTTCGTAGCTAGATCTTTTCGTATGCAATGAAAGACAAACTCGGTTTCCTGGCAAAACTTGTTCCGACAACAGCTGAAGACGCTAGAATGGTGCGCCGAATTTCGAAATCATTCTTATATTTTGACTACTCTGCTAAATATCTGGTTCCAAAACAAATGTAACAAAAAATACCAAGGCGTCATTATGAGACCAAATCTCTACCAAATAACATAAAAAATATTTCAATTAAATTCTTTATATAAAGCCCTGTGTTACACATTTTAGGATGTGAGTGTAATTGATACACCAGCCCCACACCCACACACCCAATACCGTCGCTCCCTTGTGCATTATACATGTTTGGCACTTTTATGATTGTTGTTATAAAATGAATTCATTTGTATGCATTAAAATTGTGAAAGCGACCGTTTAAAGATAAGAGCAATACAATATCACGACCACGTGCCCATTATCTACTTGATATTTTAATCATTTTCATACAATTATTCCCATTTTTAGTCTGTTTCAGAAAAGAAAATTACAATAAGATGAGTGAATCATCGGATCGACATTCGTATCAGGCAATATTTCAGTTGTGCACTGAATCAAATCAAGACCGAGTTGGCATCTCATTGCTCAAGGATCCCATACTATGGGATACTGACCTTGTAGTCAATGAAACACAAAATTACAAAGCACATATAGCCATTTTATCAGTTCACTCTGGTTATTTTAAGACTTTGTTCGAGAAAGAAAATCTGAACACTCGAACCGAAATACATATAGAAGTTAATGATTTGTCTAGTTTTGATATTGCATTTAAATTTCTATATACAGGTAGAATACCGAACTCTCTTCAACACAAACAATTGAAGTTATTATTTGGCATTGCTAACACATATAAAATTCAAACACTTGTTGAAATTATACAGAAAAGTCTTAGTAGTCCGAATATAGATGCTAATAAATGTTTACTAGTGTTATCGATGGAAAATGAATTACAGCGAAGTTATTCAGGAATGTGTTCATCGGCTATTACAATAGCAGCCGAAAACTTTAGATATATGTGTCATCAAGATGGATTCTTGAATTTAAATTATAATACTATTCAAGACATTATTTGCCATTCCAACTTTCGAGTACCGAACAAGAAAATGCCTAGTATGGCTTTACATCGATGGCTCGAAGCCAATAAGGAAACTATTCCTGATTTGTCAAAATCCATTATGACATTAAACCAGTATAGACATCCAAGAAATAGTACTTCTCTTTTTTCATCAATTGTATGCTATTTTGCTGATGGTAGCACCAGATATACCAATATGACAATAAACGCAATTAATTCGTTTCTAAGGTCGACCCCAGAAGTAATGGTTGGTCTCTTGGTAAAAAATGATGATACTCGCGATAAGGTTATGTCTGCTATTGCTGAAAGTTACCATTATCGTATTGTATCTAAATATATTTCTAAGAAAGCACATTTCAAGGACTGGAATCCGACACAATATAAATTAGATATTCTTATGTTTCTTGACCATGGTTTTGAGGAAATTTACTGGATGGATTCAGATACAATTGTTTACGAAGATTTGAGACCGTATTTAGAAGCATTTCGATGTTCTAGTCAATTATTTTATTTCGTTCTTGATCATGTGATGTACGATTCATTGTTTGTCACTAGATGGAAACGGCAACATCAAGATACGTTTATACCACAAGCATGTTTCATGGGTTTTAAGTCATCATGTATGAGGGCATTCTTCGCCCTATGGAAAAGTGCATGGAAACTCTGGATTGAGCCAAAACCATTTACAATGTATCAAGATCCAAATCCAGAATTCGAGGGATCAGGCTTTTGCATTGAGCAATATGCGCTGGGTAATGCAATATCCGACTTCATAGAACAAGAAGGGTTTTCACGTCAAAATACCTATGGTTATCAACAGCTAATATTGCCAATTGAACGAAAATTGATTTGGATTAAAACAAATGAACGAATGCAATCATTTTATCCTTCGTCTAAGTTACAATCTATGCTCAAGACTAGTACTTCTGTCTTTACTTCAAGGTATCATTTTTCTCTGAAGGCATATAGTATGAAGAGTGGGTGCTATTGGAGATATAATTCATGTAGCTATTCGCAGTTATCCAGGCATTGTTCCATGTTTGAAACAAGTAGCTCCTGTGGCGCCTCATATATTGATTGGTTTTTGGATTGCATATTCCATTTCTATAATCAAAATTATCAGGTCGGTTATGAATGGTATTCAAAAGAATTTATCAAGTCTTATTTGTCTCGCTAACGAAGACTTAGCTGATTAACCTAAAAGATTGGTCAATACCGTTTTTAATAGAAAAATATTATAATCTTTTCTTGATTTTCCAAATTTTACTTTAAAATAGTGATATAAGTTTGTAAACGATAGAGTATTAGTTGACGACTTACATTCATACTCATACTCCAAATATGAGTTATCAAATGTGGCAGTAATCTAGGGCAAATTCACGAAGAAAATCAACGGTAACAATGACCCAGGTCGAATAGTACGACCCGGAAATGGCCAGTTCCTTGAAATTCTGGTGATTTTGTGGAAGGAGCATTCCGGGTGTGGGTGAGATCTCTTGTCGATGACACCCTCATACACACTCACACCCTATTCGAAGTCCATCTAACTATAGGAGGTTGTGGTATCACGTTTTTTAGACACGGGCCCGAATTCATATCTGAAAACAAATTAATATTTGGAAACGGGGTCAATCCTTACCTGGTCGAATCCAGATCTGATTTTTTTCACTCATATTCCAAATTTTTTGTCTGCATGACAAAATTAAGGGTCAATGTTATAGGTATTTATTTGTTAGGTCAGTACGCTCATTGACGAAAGTCAGTGACTCGTTTGCAGGGGAGTTTCGTTGATCTCAGTTTTTGATGATGACGTACCCAGCCAGTTGTTACACAGGGAAAAACATAATGTAGGTTATTTCTTGTTGTCGTTTCTCCAAGGAGGCAAAAGCGAGACTCCCGTACTCCTAAATTAGAGTGAGAGTACAGGTGTAGTCCAGCCATACTTCACTGTACTCACACTCTATTTCAGGAGTACGAGAGTCTCACTTTTCCCTCCCTGCATCTCTCATACAGTTCTATTCAGAGTCGAAGCTTAATGGAAACCGGGCCTGAAGATAAATATGGATATAGCCCCGTACCCGATAAAATCTCAATATCTGGACCAGGGCCCGATAATAGAATTCATTTTTGACTCTGACATGGTCGGGTTTCCAAGGATTCGAAGCTCCCTATCTAACAGTGGCAGCGCAGTGTAACAATTTTTACCGTTACGGCTCACTTCATGTGCTTTATTCTCTTCGCTGTATCCTTATGTTCGTGCATTGACCTGATGAGCTCTCATTGTTTTGTTACGTGATCATTCCCTCTTTGCCTATATTCGCTCAAGCGTGATCACTATCTCGTCTATAAGGGAATGTAGCTAAAGGAAATGCACGACTAGAGATGTGCAGATGACACAATACAGCATCATGCCGACTGGAATAGGCGACACTCTCTATGCTCGTTACAGTAATATACAGGTTTCACATATTTTTGCTCGATTTTATAAAAAAAATTAAAACAATCGAGTGTCATTAGATATTTGATCAAAGTGGTTAAGGGACAATAGAAATGTGGATCGATATATCAACATTCTTACGTATCACATCCATTCTCCTACATTTACATATACACCACTTGTGTTCATTTCGTTAAATAGGTGTGAATAAAGCAAAAAATAGGTATTTAGCTGTTTTAAGCTTTTTGAAATCATTTATCCGAAAATTCGCAGGTTATTATAAGGAAAAACATATTTTCAACTCGAAAAGACAAATCGATCTGCTAGTCTCGAGTCTTACGTTTTTGAAATCGAACTAGTAGAGAATCAAATAATAAAATTAATTTAAGCTTAAATTAAAGTAATCGAAATGAGATGCACAGTGAATTTTGTCGATCTATGGCAATTGATTCACAGAGATATTAACGAAATGATGTATTTCAAATGGTACTTAAAATTATATTAAAAATCATATTTCAAATAATAATTGTGACAATTTTCAGATAGAGAAGAAGTGCTAGTGTTGGTGGCATTAAACTTTATTCGATTCTTCATATCATCAATTGTACCGCCTGCTTACAAAACTCATGCTTATATAGACAACTGGTAAAGCAATAGCGGAAAAGCAAGGATTAAGGTAAGTATAACACTATACTCCAAGGACAAAATACTCGAGTAAGGATAAAGTCAATCAAATGGTTGAGGGCAATTTTCAGGGGCATAACAACAATAAAATCGCAAATAATCACATAAGAAGTAATGATTTGGGTTGTTACAATAGTTGACTTCTATTACAATTATATTTCAAGCCACAAATCATATTGTATTGAACACAAAAAATTATAATTACAAGCGGAGTGATATCTGAATTATATTTTAACTCAAAATTAGATCCAAAGCAAAATTTGGATGGAAGGTAGGTGCCAGACTTAATGATCTATGTGCTGCTATTGACTCGCCCACACTCTCAATATTTATTTTTCATAAAACTACCGAGACTGCCTAAATAATTACGAATTTATATCGACTCAAGTACGCTACAATAAAAAAATATATAAAGAAATTTCGTGTCAACAGAAGTGATGGCAATAAGAATTTCACACTAATGTTAACGAACTAAACAATACTTTACTACTTACGTTAATAAAAATGCTGCAACAATTGATCAACATATTTCATGAGACTGAAAATCATTCTACGAAGCTAGACAGATTCCAAATATTACGTTCTCTATAAAATACGACATAAATTATATCTAATTTATTTTACCTGATGTGAATTATACAGCTGATTGTGCAGAGTACGCCAGCAATGTTCGTGGAATATTACTTTGAATGAAATAAAAACAAACAATTGGTGTTAGATAGAATTTGACATTACATTTTATTATGTTGTGACGTGGGGATGGTTGTTCTCTTTCTCAACACTAATCAAGCTACAACTGGACACACATCCCTAAGAATAGTTTCCAAACACTAGACTGAATAGCAAACACTTTCATTGTTTTCTTTATATATTGTTTCTCTTCCACGATGAAAGACAAATAAACTACGCTTCTTGATAATAATGCGTACTCTTTAATACAATATAATTAACTTTTGAAAACATACAAACTTTACTTTCGTCGTTCACCTTGATATTTATCTCTGGCAAGACATTATCTTGATTTAAAAGCCAGGTGTTTTCTTTTGTCGTAAAACGATCTAAAACAACTAATGCTAGTAATGATGTTGAACCAACTCAACTCTACCTTTCTTCACTGATCGTTTCTTTTATCTTGTGAACACTTACATAGCTCCCATATTTTTTTCGCTCTCCTCAGATATTTTCCCTACTCTGTTACTTTTGTTTTCTTCTTTTATTATCCCAACTATCTATGGATACATCCTACACTGTAAAAAATAGAATGCCTACATGAATTCAATGATGAATTTCTATTGCTTGGAAAATCAAGCATTTTGTAAATAATAGAAATTCGATGGACGAATCATAAAGGTTTGAAAATGCTGTAGCTTATTTAAAGTCGATTTTCTACAAAATATAATTAAAAACAAACATTACAGTGTATAACTCCCCGATCACATCTTATATAAATATCTATTGTTTCTGTATGCATAAATATGCATATAAAAATGATTCTACAAGAGGGAGATAATGCCAAATAAAACATACATGAATATTTCAGGTAAAACATTGCACGAACAAAGTTTTATATAGAACATGTGAAAACACATTTAACAAAAGCTGTATGTTGATAGACGGGGTGCTATCTCTTTCTTTCTTTCTCCATCAATAATAGTATATGTCGGCATACATTTTAATCGCTTTTTTTCTTTCTCTCAGATATTTTTTGATGATGGAACGACAAACTCTGACGCAGTAATCAATTCTTCTAGTGTCACCGTTTATGCCATTTGACAAGAAAAGCACTACTGCCAAAAATATGATGATTCTACAACTAAAAATAGAGTTATTCAACTGCTTTTCTTTCCTGTCATCATCAACGATTTCATTCCTGTTCTTCTCATTACTCTATAGAGAATTTGTTTTAATCTACAAATATATTCTGTGACAAATTTAGAGAGAAACAATCCATACATTTATTTATCCAGTATCTCATGTATTTTTCACATTCTCAATAATAATGACAGTATCGTATACTTTTACTTTTGTCCATGTCATCATTTTGACATTGGTCATCTTCACCGCTCTCGTTTATTCTATTCCAATCTTCATTATTTCACGTTTCCGTCATCACTTCAACATTCTTACAGTCAATATAAGCTTGTCGACAGCATGTTGCGCACTCATTTGGATTCTCTATTCTCTCATGTATCAATTTGCTGTTCAACGCTTGCTGTCAGAAAATGTGTGTCCTTTAATATTATATGCTCAAATGATGTGCAATTGTCAAGTACCTTACTCTGTCATTGTTGTTTCTATCAATCGACTTTTTTTATATGAAGTATCATACAAATCAATTTTTCAAGTCAAAACAATGGTTAGTAATATGTGTGTTATGTCAATGGTTTATGGGTATTATTATGTCGGTGCCAGGAATTTTTAAATTGGAGCAGGTAAATATTGTCAAATGTCAAATAATATCCACATTTCAGTACAAACATCAGCATCTTTACAAAATTTTAGTCACGGTGACGACCATATACGCGAGAGATTTATGAATTTTGTAACAGTTACTGTCACTGATAGTAGAAAACAAATGTAACTAAAGACCGACACCGGCTCCGGTACCATACGTAGTCTACGTAAAATGTTGATTGATCAAGCTTCATTTTTGTTGCCTATATGGCAATTAACAGGAAGTGTCATCTGAGATTGGAACCAACTATTTCATAGTAATTCTCGAGTGTAGCTCAGATAAGCAGGCCAACTCGTCGCCTCGTTAGTTTATGCAATGTATGATTTATTTTTAGATATTTAATCATATATTTTGGCGCTTATGAGCACTTTCATGTAAAAAACTGTAAATGACTGTGGTAATGTGCAATGAAAACGACTTTTATTAGTTTAAACAGTGAAAACAATAGTTTTATGCTGTGTCGAATACAAAACTCAGTTACATTGGTAATACAGATTTAGAGAAAAAAAAGAACATGAAAATCATAATTTTTCACTACCAAAGCTCGCGAATCTTTTTTATTATTCTTTACAACCCACTACAATTAGGTTACAATTATTTGTTGTTTTCCTTTAATAGTAATAGATACATTCTTTCCTTATTTGCGTAAGTTTGTATAGTTTCAGACATGTTACTTTAATTTCATCTATAACATTCGATTTTATCGTTTGTCCTAGCCAGTTCACTGCAACCAGCTTACTGTTCTGTTGCTTCATTCATCCATCAGAAAGTTAGCCGGCTAGTATATGTTTTGTTGCCTAGAATGGGTTTTCATTTTTGTTTCATTATATAACTTTCTGACACGAAAGTTAACCATAAAAGTTTATGGTTATAAACTGTTCTCTCAATTTAAAATGTGATGCCACTATCTAATAACAAGTTGAGTGCAAAAATAAAAGATGTACATTTATTTATTTGTGTATAGATTTCCCTAGTCGAACATCTTGTAAGCAAAATCTTCAAATCTTGGGATCGGTAAGCAAGGTCTTATCAAGATCTTGGAAAGATCATGGAAAAAATATCGTGTACTATTTTCTTCTGATAAGATGTTGAACGAAACAGAAAGCGACAGCATTAGTGTATTTACATGCCCTCTAGTCATTCACCATTTTTTTAAATGCATACACAGCTGTATATAAACAGCATGATTTACACTCTGGTATACACTTGCCCAGAAAAACAAAGTGTAGAATGTACACTTTGCTAAAATAGTTTACACTCTGATTTCTTTGATCTCTGAACCTTAAAAGCCATATATAGCTTTAAATTACTTAAGTATGATATATTTTTGTTCACTAGTGATCAAAATGTTTGTTTCATGAGATAAAAAATGGCAAAAATTATATTTTGCTTTCTAAATTGTGAAAATTGGGCTTTTGTACACTTTGATACACTTTGCTCATAAAAAACAGTGTACTGTACATTTTGTTTTAGATCTCCATTGGAAACACTGGTTGTGACTCAAAAACTTGGGTGTTGTATTATAAAACAATGGCAATCGTGGTTGTTCCATTGCTGATCTACTGTGTTATAAATGCCATGATATTCATTTATGTTCATTCTTCGTCTCGTCACGTTCATTTTCAATCGACATCAGTCAGTCAAACTATTTCTTGCACTACTAATCGACGTCCGCAAATGAGTCATCGTGATATTCATCTACTGCGGCACATGCTCTTTTTATTTACCGTATTTATTGGAGGATGGGGTCCTTCCTGTGTAATCTGGATTCTTTCTCGTACTCTCATTATTAATCCAATATTGCTTAATCTGATCGTTGTATTGGCTGAAGTAAGTTTGCTGTGCATCAATATCTATCTACTTATGTACAATCACGAAGTGAGACATTTTTTACACAGCAAGATTTTGCGATGTTCTTGAATATTTACCATATATTGCAGTCATACGTAAATATCATATTCATATTATATAATAAATATATAGTTTTCATCAAAATAAAAGTTATAGCAATTGAGAATTTAATGATGAAATTGGGATAATCGCATTATTTTAGTATACTATGAATGAATTGCTTCTCGGTTTTGTGAAAATATTTATCAAGTCACTTGACAATACAGGGCTCATTTTATTTTTTCGGTCATTTACTCATACCGAATCCTTTTCGTCTTACACATTCTTTTGTGCTATTTCTAAGTCATATACGATGATATTTTGGCCATAGGTTGAATATATTGTATGAAAGCAAGGATTTATGCATATTATCACACAAGGAGATATTAAATACAGTCGATCATTTTCATGTTTTGTTTTTCGTTCCACGAGTCTCATTCGAAAGAATATTACTAATAACATCACACATTAGCATGATCACAAAATATAGCAATTCATATTTGATATCCAAAAATTACAATGAGCAGAAAAACTAAAAACTATTAGCACATATATTAAGATATATATAGATTATGATTTGCATCAACGATGAGAATGAGTTGTATTACGCAATAAAACTGTAATCATTCTAACACTATGCGCGGATACATTGATAGCGGTCCAAGTATCTACGAAGTCTCCTAAATCTTGATGAAGCCAAAGATCGCGAATGAAAACAGTCCAAGTTGGAGTAGGTTGGTGCGGTGATAAATTATTACCAAATAATTGATTGAATTCAAAGGTTATATTAATTGTGGCATTCAATTGATTCAATAGGACAACAGCATGAAAAGGTAAAGGACTAAAGCTTAGTGTACGATTTTGATCATAAAAATGTGACATATTTTCATAATGAATTGGTTTTGCCCAAATTTCGTAGGATCCATCAAATGCTCGTTGAAACATATTACCTGATCGACCTAATTTGTCTTGATTGATTGTAATTACTTCTTTATTTGTTAGAATATTTGCAATTTCTTTTTTCATTATTCTTAAATCATTTCCCGCAATTAAAGGCGAACTAATTATAGCCCATAGAGAAAATTGTGCAGTATATTCGTCTATTGTTTGTTTACCTAAACCAACTGTTAAGATATCTAAATCATTCCAATATCCTGGTTGAGAAGCATAATAGATATTTGTTGCACGATCGGAAATCTTCAATGTTGATTCCCATTCATCATCAATATCACCCCAAATTCGAGCCATATTACAATATTCGGGAGCCCATTGAAATGGAAATTCTAAATTATTTTCATTCAATAATAACTCATCTGTATCACAACTAAAAAGAATTGAACGGTTTTGTATTGATAATGCTTTTGACCAAGTTATATAAGCAGTAGCCCGATCTTTAATATTATCTTGAAAACAGCAATCTAACTTTAAAAAATCAATATTCCAACTAGAGAATAATGCAGCATCAAGAAATTCATGTTGCCAAGAGCCAGGATACTTCTTACATGTTTTTTCACCAGAACTGGAATAAATTCCAAATAGTAAACCTTTCGAATGAATATAATCAGCTAAAGCTAGTATACCATGTGGAAACTTAGTTTCATTATATTTTAACATGCCACTTATTGGATCACGTTCGGAAGCTTCCCAGCAAGCATCAATATTCAAATATTTATATCCTGCTGATAACATTCCACTGGTAACTAACATATCAGCCATTTCCATGATGTCTACTTCAGTGTATTCACAATGAAAAACATTCCAAGTGGACCAACCCATTGGTGGTGTTAAAGCTAAACCATTGTTCAGACTTGATATAAGAAATGGATTTATAAATAATAATAGTGACACTAGAAATAACATAACTAACTTTTTGGTATATAATTTTGAAAGATAGCTTTGTGTAGCGATGCAGGATTATTATTTCATTTTGATTCTAGTCTTATGAATTGTACTACTTCTGAAATGAAACAAAAAAAGAATATTAAATGAGTTTCTAGATGTTATGCCTCTATCCAACAACTATATATACTGTAGATAGTGTCTCAATATTATTGACATAGAAAATATACATATATGCTTGCTTTATTTTAATAGAACAAAACTGACTTGAATAATAATAAAAACTATCAGTTGACATGCATTTGAGTTGCAATCAACAAAAGCAGCAGCCAAGTCTTATCAACACGCAAACCTTTTTTTCCTACAAATATAAATATTATTATTGATAAGGCTTCGGTCTTCACATATTCTCATTGAAAAAAACATCTTCAACACATCATCAGAATACCAAATGTGAATATCACTATATAATTCGTACTCATGTGTACATTCTTATGAATACTTACAAGTGTTGAATTCTTGTTTTTTTGTTAAATTTAGATCATTTCATTAATGACATCAATAAACACCCACACCCTCAAGATGATCATTTTCTTCAGATCTGGTTTAACTAATGAGAATCTCTTGATGATTTTCAAATTAGTATACGAATATTCTCACTATATGAGTAGTGAATTGCACACGATTAAAAAACACGCAAAACATATTGTTCTACTTTTCGGAGAAGTCAATAGCTTTTGTTTGTTTAGTTAACATATGAGGTTATTAATTACGTAACGCTGCCTCACATTTCAATGTAAATTTCGCGAAAATTATGATAGAACACAAAGCAATGCTATCTTTTAGAAAATGAGACGTCAATCAATTAAAAGGATACCACTTGTTTCTATTTGTCTCTTAAAATATATCCGAATGCTTTTCTCTTTACCGTATATAAACACTATTTTCCAAAAATTGGCAACACTGACGTGCCATTCCTTTGTCCAAAAAATATGCAATAGGTATAACAACACAATTTTTAAAAAATTCGGTGCAAAGCTATCAAACTATGGCTAAAATATAGATCATGAAACATCTTACCCTTGATTCTCCTTTCACTTGTTTATTAAAGTCAACGGCAAATAAGACGGACATGAGTTGAGAGAACTAGAATTGTATGCAATTAATCATTGGTTTTTACTGCTCATTTTGTTGACACATTGACAGAGTAAAACGAAGCAACATCGCTCTAGCAGTGTTCTGAAGAAGAAAACCTAGTGACCATAGAAAATGAAAGACACAATAGTTGAGTCATCGCCTCGGTCGCTCATCGAACTTTCCAGCATCAAGATCTTTGTAGATTTTCTTAGAAAGACTTCGACCCATGGACTGCGGCATATTGGTGAAGCTCATAGTAAACTGTATCGTACGCTCTGGACTATGGCTTTTCTAGCAGCATTCGGCCTAATGCTCTACTTTGTTTTCTCGTGTGTATTTCAGTATTTGGCGTATCCTACACAGACTAGTGTCGAGATTGTAGCCGAGCGTGGCATGCGTTTTCCTGCTGTGACTGTGTGCAATGCCAATCCATACAGGAAAGACAAAATGAATGCAGCGTTACTCGCGTTCTCGGAAAAAAATAGAGTTAATCTGACGGAAACTAATGCAGAATCCCTTGCTTATTCATTACTTGCGGATCTGTTCAATCAGAATGAAACAGCCGAACTGGTCGACCTTGGATTTCAATTAGATAACATGCTGCTCAGTTGTTCTTACAACGGCATCGAATGTTCGCATGACTTCGTTCTTTCCATTTCATCAGTGTTTGGTAACTGTTTCACGTTTAATTGGAATGCGTTCATGAAGAAATTGTTCACATTGGGCGATATGAACTCAACATTAGTTATTTTCCAAGGCTTAACGCTGACATTTTATGTACCAAGTCAGCTTAACTTTCCCAGTACGTTGTTTGACGAAGGCCTGGTCGTATTACTACATGACAATGATGAGCTTCCACGCACTACTGAGAAAGGATTACGACTAAAACCTGGTCTCGCTCATACAATCAACTATGAGAAAAGTCAAACGATTTTTCTTCCAAAGCCGTACACGAATTGCACGTCGTCGGTCGAGCTCGATCTGATCGCTCTGTACAAGACGATGTTTAACTCAATAGCTATCGGTCAAGTTGCTTACTCAGAAGTTGTATGTTATCAGCTATGTGAACAAGCCTTTATCTTTTCTGTATGCTCCTGCATCCTTCCGATACCATTGTACACGCGATATGTCTTCAATCGCGAGCATGATAATCTTATTTTTACCAACGTATGTCACCCATATACTGAAGAGCAAACATGTGCTCTGACTACCGCACAGAGATTTGTGTCAAGTCCCACCACAATAGCTGCTTGGTGTTCTCACTGTGTTTTACAGTGCACATACACATATTTTCCCACTGAGTTGAGTGCTAACTTGGCGCCAACAACTGCACAGAAGGCATATTGGGCACCTATTCTGCTCAGTAATACATCGAACTGGACCAATTTGAGCTTACCAAATGATTTTGCAGCAAACTACGATACCTATATGAGCTCGAATTATTTACGGGTGACTATCACATGCAGCAAGCGATATGTGACACTTAATGTACAAGAAGCAAAGCTGACGATTGTTGATACATTTGCAGCCATTGGTGGTCAAACTGGACTGTAAGTGGATCTCTTCATTGTTTATTGTCTTACTTTGATTGACTAATACTAGGTGGATCGGCTTGAGTGTACTGAGCTTCATCGAAGTTTGCGAACTGATTTATTGGCAAACTGTAAAATGGATCCTCGCATTTCGAAGTTGGCATCAAGTCAAACCGAGTACCGAAATCGATTTGGAAAAGGTTGAAAGTTGCTCTGATCAAGTTGATACTAAGAAATGATTAACATTTAAACATAAACTATCATTTGTCTGAATTTTCAAATCTTATCAGTAAATAAAGTCTCTTATTAAAATCTGGGATCAGAATATCGTTCTTATTGACAGACAAATTTAAATATATTCGATAGTAAGATATGATCGGACCATAATTCTAGAGGTCCTCTTGTGGGAATTATTCTCCTGTTTGAATATTATCTTAGTCCTCACCTTCCTAAACATCATCCCACGCCCAAACTTGAATTAAAGATTGATATAAGCTTTATTTTTAAGATAGTGTATCATACATATTAGTGAGTTTTTCATTAACAAATCTCATTGTTTTAGTAAGCGCTTTCATGGGATTTGATTCATGTTATCATTATTCGTGTTTGTTAATCTATTCATCTTTTGTTGCTACTTGCAGAAGCATGAGTAATAGTTGTTTTACACCATCTGGATCAATAATGACCTGAGCTCGTGAAGAAGCTCTAGGAAATTTTTCTTTGAGCGCTGCGCTGGCTTTCGGAGAGAAAGAATCGTAGAATTCTTGAAAAATGCGATTCTGAACTTCTACAGATTGTTCTTCATAATCTTGATGTTGGACTCGAATGTGTTTTTCAAAGACACGTTTGTACGTTACAAATGTTGTCTCTAATTCTAAAGCTGAAGGTCTTTGATTCTGATCATCGAGAGTGCAATAGCGAATCAATTCATCGAAAACAGGACTTTTCTCTGGTAAAATAATTTTTCTGGATGGTTCATGAAATAAATGGTTTTTCTCATTGAACAAATAGTACAGTGTCAGTCCGAATGTAAATACGTCCAGAGACTGATCATAATTACTCGTATAGAATTCGGGAGGCATATATGGTTGACAACCAACAGTTGTCATATATTGTCCTGGACTTCTAAAATCACGTGCGATACCCATATCCCCTATTTTAGCTGTATAATATCCATTGACAAGAACATTATCTGGTCTTATATCACGATGAATCATTTTTCTATCATGTAGCTTTCTCATGCCACTTGCTATGTGCCAAGCCATGTCAAGCTTACAGCTTAGTGATAGCTTTTCGTGTTCTCGAATAACAGAAGCTAAACTACCTTTACTCATAAATTCCATAATCAGAGCACATTGCATTTCGTCTGTTACTGATTTTGCTTGTCTCAATGCATATCCATATAATTTAAGAATATAAGCACCTGATAATTCGTTATAAGCTGCAAGTTCACGTTTAAAGCTTTGGAACAGATGCATTTGAGTGGGTTGAATGGAAATTATTTTGCAAGCCACATCACGATTTCTTGAAATCCATTTTGCCTTGTAAACAGCACCTAACAATGATGCATGGTAGCGAAACAAAGATAACTAGGATGTAATTTTGACCTTACCGAAAGCACCTTCTCCTAATTTTTGTCCCAACTTAATATCATCGATGTCAATTTCTTGAAGATTGTTTTCCCCAATGACAACTAGTGGGTGATTGGATTTATGTTGATTGGTCTCTACTTTTGCGGTCTTACATTTTAAGCACAAATCATAAGAGGAACATGTGTCACACTTGAACCGAATGCCAACGATAGGATTAGTTTTACAACCATCGCATGCTATTTTTTCATGCCGAATACTTTTGAATTTTTCTATTAATTGAGGTAATGTAACTTCACGACTATCATCTGTAATAGGCGTCCCAAACAGCTCCGTTGGTATTCTAAAATGCGCAAAAGCGTGGCCATTTTTATGCTCATCCGTCTCTCTTCTTTTCTCGAAACATGTACCGCATAAATCAAAATCGGTGCATTCCAAGCATCTATATCGATCTCCTATAATATATTGCGATTTACATTCATCACATGGTACGTCATGTATATCATTATCATCATCCACCAAACTGGCATTTAAACCTGGTTGTGACTTGAGTCTGTTTGCCATTTGCTTTTAATTCAAAATGATAAAGATAATTAAAGATGGCAATCGTAAGATTCCAAGAGAAGGTGTGAAAAGTTTGATCTTACATAATTATATATACCCATTGCAATACTATTATTTATCATTCTAGAATCGAGTACTGATATCTGAATAATGTAGACTTAGTATTTATTCGCAGGATTGATCACTTCATCTCTTGAAATGCCTGAAGTCATGCTAACATAGAACTGATACAAGAAACAGAATATAGTAAGATATTCAACTTAAGAATGATACACATATAAAAACCACGTGACATCAATAGCGACATTGTTTTCAAGTAGCTACAAAAAGAATTTCGATAAAGTTAGTTTCGCTTATCTTTTTTGGAAGTACGCAAATTCATGTTGCAGCTAAAACATTTTCTATCTATTTATATATATATATATAAGATCTTATCAAAGAGCTGTCATTTTAGTTAAATGATTTTAAGCTTTTCATACTTATACTTTATTAAACGGACAAAGTTTATGATTTCCAGGTCTATAACCTATCGTTAATTAGTAAAATAATAGCAATACGTTGAAAAAAAAGTACTGAAAATAGACTTCTCAATTCGCTCGATAAATTAAACCATGCTTTTTTGGCATTCACTTATTAGTCAAATGATTTATTTTATAACTAATGAATTAAGACATATTAAGAGACTTTAGAGTTATTCTTGCAGATATTTTTCCATTTTAAGTATTTCAAATATAACATCGAATAAAAATTTGATTAGTCTTTCCTCGAGAAAAACAAGAATACAAGAAGATTTAACAAGATCTTACGATTTTAGAAAGCATTCTCAAAATATGGTGTAGATATCGGCAAACCATGAAAGTGAGAACACTCGATTTCATATACTCATTTTCCCTCAAATTAGATATACACATCGTTATTCACACTCACACTCACACCCTTAAAAATCCTTTTTACCTTGTACTTCGACGGAATCAATTGTTGTTTTCGACGATTTTCCCGGCACTTAGAGGCTGTAAAATAAAAATATTCCAATGAAATTTCCTTTTCACAAGTTGTCCAAACATTCTCTGCAAAACTTTGATGGTACTGACGAAGTACAACTTGAATTCTTATTCTTATAGAACAGTATGATTCAATGGGACTGTATTTAAGGATGTGAATAGTGATATACGGTTTTGTAGGAAGATCAAAAGCAAACATAGACGTGCACTCAAAGCTATATCTGTGTTTATTGTCGTTTCAGAAACAGGTTTGCACCCTTAAAAAGATTGAATCATTAGTTTGTCTTGAGGTTTGTTTTACGTCAAAAAATTAAAATTAAAAGTTTTAAGATGTAAAATAAATAAAATGAATTCCTGAAACATGAAAAATTAATATTTAAAATATTAACAAACCTGGTGGAAGCCTCTCAAGTGTTATAAGTGTAGATGATTTACATCCCATTTTTCAACTAGAAGTAGATGTAGTCGTTCCAAATACTGAAGTCTAGTAAGTATAAAAAAAATGTGATCTGAAAATACTCAAATGACAGAAACAAATAAAATGAATTTAAAAAGTAATAGACATAATTCCACACACGCACACATCAGAATTAACATTTTGTGTACTGACGTCATTTATAAACTGCAGTAGTCGAATAAGAATCATTCAGATACGAATCTACCATTTGTAAACGAGGATCGGTTTGGAATACTTCATATTTTGTTACTTGAGTAAGATCAATTCATGAAAGAAAAAGCAGTTGGTAAATATCATTTTCTCTGTAAAAATACCTATTGATTTGTTGCTTATAGTCGATTGTACCTAAATCATTGCTTATACAACAATACTTGTACTTTGCCTATGACTTCAGCTAGTATATTCGATAAGAAATCGTTTTCACCTAAACTAACTTAAGAGTGGACATATTTGAATGAAATCCATTATTTATGATTGTCACACTCAAAAATTGGATTCAAGTAGAGGATTTATTTTTTACATTCTTATGTCCATAGACCTGTCTATAAAAGAAAAATGCATCGTTTTACAGCCAAGAACATGTTCTGTGTATATTTATGGTTCTTATCTCTGTAAAATAAAATAAAATATGTAGTCTCAAGGTAAGCATGCCGACGCTACAGATAATATATATTCGAAGACACGCTCTTTGCAGGAGAATAGAAATAATGAAAAAAAGATTTCGACAGATTGTTCTTTATTCATCATTTTTCTTTTCTACGACACTATCATTTGACAGACTTTGCAGTAAGGTAAGAATATGATAACTTCTAGATAATATTCACCAACCTTCTCTGTAAACTAAAAATTGATTAGACGTTAGAATCGTTGTATCACCATCTGGTAGGGTGTGGATGTGTTCTTCTTTCATCTTAACCTACGCCCTCAGGGAAAGGTGTTTTAACTCAGAGGAATATTTCTAGTCAATATCCTTATTAATGAATGCAATTAGGAGCAGGAAGTTTTTCGAGAGAAATTTAGAGTGTCTTCATTTGATAGTACACTTTAGATAATATACTATAACGAGCTTTCCTATGAATGGCAAGAAGTAACCAAGTGAAACCTGCTGTGACGACTGTTTCAGGATCGTACACATCGAATGTATTTGAAGCACCTATTACGCTTGATGATGAAACTGCGAATATATATCTAACGCATCTTAGAAAATACGTGAGTCGAAAATTCTGCTATCACTCAGATGCGGCAGCCGAAGCAAAAATAATTAAAGTAATTGGTCGTGTAGCATTTAAAATCGATATATGGACATTGATAGAGAAACGATGGATAAAATCAATTAGTAGTCCGTACAAGGATGAAGAAACGCCAGGAAAAACTGTTGAAAATCTATTTGACGAGGAAATTTATAATTTAAAGGCGGATACAACTGTGGTACAAGGCAATCAAATCGGCCATATCATATTACCGGAAACACAAAAGAAAATTAGTTGTACTGCATGTCGTGGTGAAGGAAAAAAACCTTGTGGAAGTTGTAAAGGTGTTGTGGATCAGAATCTCAAACCTTGTTCAAAGTGTAATAGCAGCGGTTATTTGAGTTGCTCGAAATGTTTGACTAGTGGAAATATACTTCAACGAAATGAAATGCATTGTAAACGATACACCTTACATTCGCTGACTTATCCGAAAAATATATTCTTACCAGATGAATGTATTGAAAAAAGTAATGGAAAAATTGCGTTTTTTGAAGATGATGTATTATATGAAGGGGAATCTTTTTGGTCGAACTTTGATTCTCTCGAATCTCGTATCAAAGAAGATAGTCCTCATGATTTTCGTAACGTTATTGAGAAACAATTCAAAGATAACCATTTAAGCAAGATGAATAAATCAACACGTATACGTCGAGTGAAATGTAAGATTCAACGTTTAGATTTATTTGAGATAGATTATCAAGCAGGTGATTATACGAATAAAGCAAATACACAAAAAGGTATACAACTTTTATGCAATGCAGTTCTAAATATTTTCTTATTTACTAACGTTTATGCAATCTATTTTTCTTTTAGGTCCAAATGTATTCACTTTTCTTCTTTACGGCCATGATATTAAGAATAAACCTGAAATTTTCGAAAACGACTATCCATTAAATTCATGCGGCTGCTTTGGTCATGGATGTGCATGTCGATCGAAATGTTGTTCGATTTCCTAGCATGTATTCAATGATCTACAATAAAAACTTATCCAGCTGACTAACATTCAAACATTTTCTATTTTTTCGAACTGCTTCTATTTCTAATAATCGTCCATACAATCAGTCGAACTATTTACAATAAATGCTGATTTCAAGAAGAGAACATCTGTAGAACTAATAGAATGTATCTATGCATATCTTTTTTCTCTAAAAAAATACTCCTAATAATCTAGATAAATCTAACAGAATATGCTAATATTCGATGCAAACCAGTTCAGCAGCACAGTAAGGTGCTAATAATTTTTGGGCGTGGGTGTGGGTGTGGGTGAAGAGAAGACAACTTTTAAACGCACATCTACACCTTATAAGTTTATTAATCATATAATGGTAAACATTTTTTAAATAACAACATCTTAATATATAATATTATTTATCTTAACAGGTTTCAATCATTAATATCAGTCTTTTTTTCCATTCAATTTATTGTGCCATTATAGGTTCACATGAGAAAAAGGTAAAAAGAAGAGAGCTAAGAGTAGAGAAGAAGAAGTTAAGAACGATAAAAAGATTTTAGTAGACAACATTTTTTTTTCAGCAAGGTTAGTATTTAGATAGCTAACGAGAGACAGATTAAATGAATATAGTACAAATAACTAGAGATGAATAATTTATAGATAACATTTTACATAACATGGAATAGAAATAGTCATGATAACAATTAAGAATTAACACTTAACAATTAACAGTGAGAAAGATTATGATAGAATGGTTATAGCTGTATAGAAATATGTTTTCTTACACACAAAGTTAAGGATGTTGACGACATCTTTTAAGAAGTGTGATATAGTATCATAGAAGAGGAAAGAAGAAGAGTGGATATATCGAAATGATAAGATGGAATGTCTCATATTTGTATATCTTTTTACTTATTAGGTTGCTCATTTTTTTTTAATCGATTTGTTCAATGTGGCAGCGCTCAATTTAGTTTATGTTTGTTCAGATTCAAATTTATAATGATATGTATATTTAAATTGTTTCTCTTTTTCTTTTTAGGTATTTATGGTTTACTATTCGTGTGCAAGTAGTGATTTATTCAATTCTTGCTTTTAAATTGTTAACTATTTTCTGTATTTGCTTAGATTTATCTTAATTATATTTTATATTGATTTGATTATTGTACTATGGCTATGGGGGTTCCATGAAGAATTTGTATACAAATAAATTAAGGTAATGTGTATTTTTCTTGAAATATTCGAGCTGCTCCTTCCAGATATTTTCGTATATTTGCCATTCTGCTAGCGTGTGTTGAGCTCTTTCAGCTAGTCTTTTAGGAAAAAAACTATTCTTCCGAAAACCCATCGACTTGTACCAAGATTTATCTGTCGATGTAATTATCTCATATTCTCGCCAAGATTGTTGAAATGTTATAGCATCTGGTGCTTTTTTGAGGTGGTAGTTTAGACGGTACCAATACGCATAGATATAGTCAAATAGACATTTTTCTCTGGATACAATTAGTGTTGAAATATCATCCCATTTGTTCATCGAGTATACTATTCTTATACCAGTACCGTAGACATGCTCTATTGATTTCTTTTGGTTTTCCGTATAGTAGAACCAGGTACAGAAAAGCCAACAGAAATGAGGAAGTGCGTATGCTAAAAAAAGTTTTCTTCTTAATGAAATCATTGAAGGTGTAATTGTGTGAAAAATTATGCGTAGTGCTTTGTATATCTTTCTTATTTTTCTTATGCGTTCGTTTATGAATAGACCCCAGCCAAGTTTCGTCGAAATGTATACGCCTAAGTATTTGAAAGTTTTGACGTATTCAATGTTTTGGTTGTTGTATTTGATAGTAGGATAACGAGGTGATACGACACTATGTACTAGTAGAGCTTTTGTTTTGTTCACGTTTATGGCAAGTAGAGTGTCTTGTGCGAATTTTTCCAGCTTTTTCATGACTACTTTTGCGCGTTCTTCTATTTCATCAATGTTCAGTGAGAAGCGCTTTTCAAGTGAACCAGGTATGACTATTGCTAAGTCATCTGCAAACAAGTGTGTATTGAATTCAGCTAGAAATGAAGGGAGGAAGTGGATGTGTAGTTTGAACAGCGTTGCTGCGAGAACAGAACCTTGTGGAGCACCGACATTCATCTTGATTGTTCTTGAATTTGCTTCACCATATGAGATATATAGGTATCTATTTTGTAGCCATGAGTGAATCCATTTTAGTAAAGCTATGGGCATATCGAGCTCCTGTAGATTTTTAATTAAGGCCGGGTACCACATACGATCAAATGCAGATAGAAAATCCACGAATATTGTTAGTGCAGGTCTATTACAAGCTGCTATTGTAAGTCGTAGATTTTCAACTATTGACAGTATTCTGGTTTGTAAACGTCTACCTTTAGTGAAGCCACTTTGTTCGTCCACAGCTATATTGTGGTCGTGGCACCATTGTAATATTCTCTTATGTATGATTCGTTCAAACAACTTAGCGAGGTTGGGCAGTAGAGATATCGGTCGCAATTTGCTTTCTGTAGGGTATAATCCATCTTTGGAAAGACAAATAGTTTTAGCAATTTTTCCTGCGTCAAAAAATGCGCCATTCGATGCACATTTATTAAATAATACGGTTATTGTTGCAAGATATTCAATTGGCAGTTTTTTTAGAATGAAAGCTGATGTCCCAGTACTGTCGCTCGATTTTTTGGGTAGCATCTTTTTCCATTCTTGTAGAACTTCTTCATATTTTATTTGCGTTAGAGGTATTGGTGGTAGATATGCCAGGTTGTTACAAACATCTATGGCTTGTTGATGCGTTTGATTGCGCATGTCATGTTGAGGTGTTGAGAAGTGTTGCTCGTAATGATTCGCGAGAGTATCAGCAATTTCCTTTGGATCTGTTATCTTTCCTTGGTGTGTAGTTAAGCCTTTAAAAGGTGGTGCAAAAGGTTTAAAATTTGACTTAGCGTACTTCCAGATGTTGTTGTTCTCAGTAATTCTTTCCATCTTGACCTTTGTGCGTTCCTCTATATATGATGCTCTTTCTGCAGTGAATATTTCTTTCCATGTTCTAAATCTTTCCAAATTAAAGCTTGTACGCGATCTGCGATACGCTCGTCTATATTTGTTTACAGTTCGTGCCAGGAGCACAAGTTTTGGTGGCCAGGGCGTCCTGAAGCTCTCGACATTTTTGTATACACTGCACCTGTCATGTAAGGCGTTGAGAAATTCTGAGAATAGTACGAAAAAAGATTCAGTGTCTAGATTATAGGCGAAGGTATTCCAGTATTTGTATATTGTAGAGAGAAAGAAGACGAATAATGACCAGTTAGTTTGTTTGAAAAAGAGTGTATCATCAATTGTGAAAGGGGCTTCAAAGAGGATCGGCCAATGGTCAGATGTAGCTTCTTCTAGCACTTGTGAATTCCATTCGTGCGCGTCGTGCGTGATGCCGAAATCAATTATCGAGTTAGATTTCTTGGATGTTGCTTTTTCTGGTAAAATCAGATCGTTTCCTGTCTTCTCTAACCAGTTGAATATATGATTTCCGCTTATATTATTTTTGTTACATCCCCATGTTGTATGCTTAGCATTGAAGTCGCCAAAAATGTAGAATGGTTTGTCTTTGCACTTGTTGAACAGCTGGAAAGGTGGTAGAGAGCCTGGAGGAACATACACTGTTCCTATGTATATCGATTGTTTTGATGTTTCTAATTCGACCAATATGAAATTGTTGTCTTTTTCTATAATCTTGCATTTTAGAAGGCTTTGGTATAAGATCGCTACACCTCCAAAAGAATTCGTTCCATTTTGTGATATTCCAATATAACCCGGAAAGTTTGGCATTTTCTTTGTTGCGGTTCCGACACCTGTTAGTAAACATATATGTGGTTTGTATTCCCTTAGTAGTATATCGACATCTGCTATGTGCGTATTTAGACATTCCACATTGAACAAAAGGATCATTAATTTGGGTCTATCACTTTGTAGTGGTCGTTCTTTTTTCCACTTCTTACTTAGATCAGATATACAAATACGAGAATTCCATTCGTTTATCATCTCAGATATAATTTCTTTTTCTTGTTTTGAACCAGGATAGGAGTTAGAGATTGAAAGAGGTATGTGGGGCTCAACAAAATAGAAAAAATCTTTATTCACTTGTTGATGTAAATAGTTCAATTCCATGTTGTAGCAGTTGATTGTTCTTCTCAAAATTTTCGACGAATTTCAAATGTTTGTTTGATACTAATTGATGTTGTTCATTAAGGAAATTGATTAAAGTTTGAATTTGTGAAGTTGTTGTGTCAGATGGTAGTTTAACTTGTCGATCAGTTGAGTTTGACGTTGTTGTTGTTGTAGCGAGTTGTTGGCATATCCCAAGTGAAAGTGTCACAATTGGAATCAGTTCAGTAATTGTTGTAAATACCGATTTGATGGTTTCGTTTTGTTGTTGAATTTGTACTGACATTACCGATAAAATAGATCCTAACTTTAATTTGTGTTCTTGATATCTTTTTGCTATATCGGTCTCTTGCTTGTTGAATTTCTCTTTGAGCGAGTTAAATATTTCTTGTGATTTTGTCATGTCACTCCAAATACTATTTCTATTTGTATTATGTGACAACCATTCATTTGGTGATGTTGTATCGATGTTGTTTGATAAGAGAGGCCATTCATTTGAGTGCTGATGATACGTGTATTGTTGTTGTTGTTTTGTTCTTGCATTACCTTCAATAATATTATTATTAATGAGAATTCTATTACCTTTTTCGCCATGAGACCGATATTGAGTAGGAATGAATAGTTGAACATTCTGCGGTAGAAGATCTGGCCTGCTTTTTAGTTTGAGAATCAGTTCTTTTCGAAAATCATTGATGATTGAACATTGGAAGGAGGTGGCTTCATGATTTCCATTGCAGTGGTGACATTTGATAATGCATTCTTTGTGTTCACCTTCGGTTCTATTTGAGCCGCATCTTCGACATAAATCAATATCGTTTTTGCATTCTTTTTTTAGATGTCCTGGTGTGTTGCATCGTGAACATATTAGTAGTCGAGGTGGTGCAAGAAATTCAGAGACTTCAATCAATTGACCTTCGAATGCTATTGTTCCTGTGTTTAATATGTCCATATATTCATTTTGTTCCGATAGTTCGATACGTATATGACGATTTCTGGCACCTATCGTTCCTCGCATTTCTTCGATGTTAAACAGTGATTTGTATTTGGAAGATATTTCCTTTTTTATATCGTCGATATGAATGTCTTTTGGTACGTACTTGAGTATAGCTGACCGTTGTGGAGGAAGTCGTTTTGGAGGATTTGGGTGAATAGCTGTATTCAATAACTTTTCCGGATAGTTTTGAGGGTTGCATAGAAACACGAAGAGTTCGACGTTGCGTGTAACGCACTGTAAATTTTCATCACGATCTATAAACCAGTATTCAAACCCGAGTGGTTTTAAACAGTTTTTATTTAAATCCTTGAAGTTTTTTTCGATTTTTAAAAATAATTCTTTTATTAGCATGGTGCCTTGCTTTTGGTCGATTACTTTTGGATCACATTTAATATTTATCGGTGGTAAATGTTGTTCAACAGCATAATGAAGAGCGTGGTTGGAAATGCTTGTTTTTTGTTCATGTTCATGGTTAATCATGTAAGCTTGTTGATCAGTTTGTTTGACAGCTCTTTCTTTTTCTGTGTTTCTTAAGCGATGATGATTCATCGCTGTCATTTCTCCATTGTAAAACGTGCGTGAGCTATTTGTTGTTTTTCTTTTCTGTATATATTGTTGATGTTGTTGTTTTTGTAGGTGGTCGTTCGTTTTATCATTCATGCATATGACGTCATTTTGTTCTTCATAATGTTTGTCTTTGTGTTCCCTTTGAAATTTTTTTCGCTGATGCGTAACAGTTTCGAATTCTTCGTCATCATTGTTCATTATCACCATTTGATTTCTTTCTATACTTCTTTGTTCATCTGAATGATGCCTCTTGGGTGTGCGAACTACACCTACGTCTTTGTTTTCATTGTTAAATGTTCGAATTTGCTCCTGTATTTCAGCACCATCGACCATTCTATCTTTCATAGCTGTTGGCATATTGACGTAATTATTGTATGACATATGTGTGATTTTATTTATTTATTAGTTTTATTTATTAAATAAAATTATAATTGATTGTGATATATAATAGATATTTAGATACACACGCTGTGTATACGTGCACTTCACGTATACTCTTACGAGAGGAAAAAAATCAACCTATCGATACGTGTAAAAGTTGAAAAGTGAAAAGTTCTATATATTCATATGAGAGGAGAATATGAATGCCATATATATATATTAAAAGGTAAGAGTCATTGTCTACATGAACGATTATCTTTAATTTTTTTCTCACCTAGAAAAAGAAACGAATATGATTAGTCTATTGACATGCATGGATGAATCATCACATTAAAACTAATTTCGCGATCTATTTGTACATCAATTTTGCATAGAAGATTAAAAAACACTAATATGATAGAACTGCATAGAAACGAAATGAGATTTACTCGTCTATATATTTTATTCCCGGAAAAGTTCTTATTCACATAATTAATCGCACTGAACTACATGCAAAATCTATATAATGGCAGAACGAATTTTTCTAGAGAACAAACGGAAATATATGATATATCAATAAATTAATTCTTTGATTTCATCAAGTCTGAAGAACTTCATTTGATAAATAATCTTTCTCAGTAATTGATAACTCGAAGAAGCAATGTATAAAAAATAAGCAAAGACTGCAGATTGAGCCATCTATTAGAGATAATTAAATCTTCATTTTAATCTTTTATTTTAATTTTTCCATCCAATATGAGAGAGAAAAATAATGTTTCTTTAATTTTATATCTGAACAGAGGGTGAAATGTTGACTTCTTTATTTATTGTTATACATGCACAAGTATTTCAAAATCTTTTTTTTCTCTATATGGTTACTACTAATAGTTGCATAAATTTTTTGTACTTACATAGGTTGGATTTGTGGCAAATGATGTTTGCTGAAGATCAAAACGTTTTTCAGTAACATCCTATTAAAAAAAATCATGAAATAATAAAAAACAAATGTTGATTTATTTTATATATGATAATACGTACACTAGATGTGGCATGATTAAATGAAATATTTTTTTTCATAGATGATACATCATCAGTTGTTGTACGAACTGATCGATCAATATTCAGTGTATTAGTTCTCGAAATTGTTTCTGTTTGATAATCATTATCGTCTTCATTATCTGTCTGCATAGAAGATAAAGTTTTTAAGAATAATTTTTAGAACTATTTTTATTGCATCATCTGATAAGTCTTGAACAGCTTTATGTAAAACTCCAAGAGAACTTTTGCGTTCTTCAATTAATCGTTTATATTCCTTTTTGTGGCATTTCTGGATATGAATTAATAAATCTTTTACTATGGCTGTTGAGAACGTACAACTACATGGAAAATAATAAAAATTTCCTGCGTAAAACAATAAAATAAAATATTTTGTTTATGATGTCTTAACAATATTTAACTTACTGTGTTTAGGAAAACTGTAAGCCTGAAAAAGTTTTGGATGTGAGTGTGGGTGTTGTTGTAGTTTCCATGGAGCACCATGCCCACACCTACACCCTACTTTAGTATTTTGCTGTCATTATGCATAAATTAGTAACTTGCTGAGACGGACATTAGTTTTGAAAGTCTATCGTTATTACAGTAACGTTTCAGGAAATATAATGAAACTCTGAGTTTGTTAGCATGGGACTAGAATGAGAAAGAAATTAAGAAGCACGGGGAGGGATGCAGCGATGACAATCAAGAGCGACGTGTCTTGCAAACTGAAATAGAGGATACGCCTAGATTTTTCGCTATACTGCTCGTGTATCAACGTGAGTGTAGATGCACTGTAGTGTCTCTTTTCTCACGCTTGTACATAGTGATGTCGAGGGTGAGGGTGTGGTTTCTTTTACGGTTTAGGGTGGCCTACCTGGTTGAAGAAACGGTCACTCTTGTCGTCAGCCATAACGCATCGTAGTTCCATCAGCGAAAAAACTTCCCTAGCTACTTGGTTCGTATGACACCAGTTAGTCAACTGGATTCTGAGGGTTCAGAACTCGCGGAGTTCGGCCACGTCTCCTCACTTTATCATTGTAATTGAACGTCCAATCAGCTGTGCCTTTTCACATACACTCATTGTCGTCATGTGATATTTTACTTCGAACTTATCTCATTATGTATGTGTGGTTATGTAAATCCATGCACATCTTTCTTCAAGATATATTCACACCCCACACCCTGCCTATCTCACTTGACAGTGAAATAAATTTATCCCAATATATTGAAATTTTGTAAAAACGTTTTGTTCTATATATAAAAGGATAAATAAAACAAATCCTGTTGATTCTTGAAAGTTTTGAAGTAATCAAATAGAGTTCATACGATCTGATGAGACCCTTAAGCAAGATCTCAACGCGTCATGGCTACCTATCTCGCACCTACATCCGCGACGCATTTGAAATGTTATGTTTATTGTCTAGAGAAGTTCATAAGAATAGTGGAGATAAAATAATCGATTATAATACAATCACTTGCACTGAGATAGATCATTTTTCAAAGTATTAGGTTTGACCAGAATCGACTCCCAAGTCACTTCGTAAGGGTTCGATGCAAAGGTTACTATTATGGATTTTTGTTTGATTTCATCTTCATATAAAACTTTGTAACCTAGTTGGTGTAAAAGTAAGTACTTGATTGTCTTTAATTGAGCATATGATAAACCATCTGATATCCATAGATATCCTCCAGGTCTCAAAATTCTATTTTGCTCTAATAAAACCTCTCTCCACCGAGCAGGTGTCAATGAATGATATACCCAAGAATGATGAATCGCATCAAAACTAAATTTAGCGAAAGGCAGCACTGTTTCACCGTCCAAAAAAGCACACAAGCCGCCTCTTTCAGTTATATATTCACAATAAGGAAAATCCGGAAGAGCGGTATTCAAAACAGTTACATCATAACGTTTTTTTAATATAAAAGAGACTGAACCACCCCCGGCACCAATTTCCAACATTGAACGTATTTTTTTACCAAATGGGATATATTTAGCCGCTACGTTTATCTTTCCCTCATGGAAAATATCATAGTAAGAAGCATTGAAATGAATCATATTTTTTGGATATCTGGGATTAAACTGTATCAAATCTTTCCATGAATCCAGTCCTAAATTCGACCATGGTACAGCCAGTTGGTTCGGAAGCACAGGAAAGTTTACAAATTTACTAAGCCATTGATAATTTTTTGGTGGCAATAAGACGCAAGCGAAATGTCTAAGCGTACATAATGGAGAAAATTGCTTGAAAAATTGAAATTGAAAATGTTGCTCGAACACCGGTCTAAATTCACAGTACTTCACCGCCTTATATATTGGTGTACTGTTTGCAGATGTTGAACTTAAATTTATAGGAATTTTGTTTTTGATAGACTTACAAACATCCCATTCATAAATTTCATCTTTGAAATCTTTTATCGATAACAAGTTTCCAGATAAGTCATCTGCTTGTAATCTTTCGAACTGATCAAAATTTTCAAGAAAAGGTACAACATTTGGTGTATGCGTGCCTCTGGCTGAAAATTCGTTACAAGGCTTTGAATATTTGGTGCCAATATAGGCTAATAATACAAAGTTCATTAATAAGGATAGCATTGTTGTTATTTTGCTTTCTTTTAGTTTCTTGAATGTTGCCATGTTGAAATATGCAACGTGCTTGTATGTATGTTTGTTTAACGAGTACCAGATTTTGCTAAAGGTTGACAAAAGTCAATGGTAGCATAATTATCGGAATCTGAAATTAAGTATAGTGTAGAAAAAGGTATCATATGGGACTTGAAGTGTTCCGTGTTACTTTAATATACGTTTAAAAGCTATCGTGCGTACATACACAACCCTACAAGAAATCAGCATTATTAAGGGTTTCGTAGAAAACTTTTCCGGGTATTGAAAATCGAAAACTTTTCTTAAAATACTCTTCAAATTTTATGCCGAAACAAATCGCAATAGTCGAAGTACTTCAGATTACCAAAAACAAAACTGCATTTCAATTTTTAATCGTAATAGAATTAATCGTATATATTCTCTATGGAGGAGCTCGATTATATTCGCTTCAGTGAAGAGATTAAATAAAGATAATAGGATAGTTTGGGAGTTATATTAGAACTCAGGTGGTAAGTGAGTGTGTGGGTGTGAGCATCTCTTTAACAATACCGATACGTCAACGCGCTCCATCTAGCAGACGAGTTGAATGAATTTGTTGTAGTATTATTTATTTCTTCTTGAACATTTTGTAATAGATCTAAATCACTATCATTGTTGCATAAATTAAATCTATCGTTATCTATTTCCATTAAATCATTTTCGACATCATCGTTCAGTAAAATTAATACTAACATTTGCAACAGAATTCATTCCGTCACTATTACTGGCAGCAAGGATCTTAACAGTATCAGCGTTTTCTTCTTTTAAATGAAGTTCATGTGAACGATTACGATAAATGTGCGATTTAAAAGTCGAATACGTTCGATAAGATACACCGCATGTTGAAGATAAATTGCAAGTCATTTAGAACCGAGCTTCATTTTGATGAAACATTGGCATACGTCGAAAAAAACTTTCCGAAGTTTACAAACATGCGACCATTTTGAGAAAGAGGACATATAAACGATGACATGATGATTTCAAAGCGAAAGTAAAATATTCTGCAAGTACTGTTTTCTTGACAAAATCAAATAAATTGAAACTTTTTCTTAATACACACACATATATATATATATATATATATTAATCGAAACTGTTTACAAATAAAATGATCATACCAAGTGAAAAATATTCGCTGATTTCAATCAAAGTATTGTGCAACAAAACCCAATCCGCAATTGGATTGATAATTTTTATTATAATATAATATGATCACCATCTAACCCAAACTTGATGTTATTGCTAGCCCAGTGGAAATTAGTGTAATTAAAATCTGATTGTTCTGTAGCGCAATTCAAATTATCAATCGATTGACAATGTGGATTTTACTGGAAAACAATCCGATTTCAATCAAACTAATTTCCACTGGGCTAGCAATAACATCAAGTTTGGTTTAGATGGTGATCGATTACAATCAAAATTATCAATCTGATTGTGGATTGGGTTTTGTTGCACAACAATTTGATTGAAATCAGCGAATATTTTTCGGTGGGTAGTATATCAATAACAAGCATAAACAAAAAATAAACTTTTGCATCATAAAACCTTGATAAAACTTTTGCATCATAAAACCTTGATAAAACGTTTGGAATTCACTCATGCATAACTTCACAACAAACGACATATGCATTTATTTACATGAAGTTTATTATCTGAGAATATATTATCATAAGGAACAGCATACATTTTTCTTCAACGAAAATTTAAAAAAATTGACCTTCAAATCATTAAATAATAACATCAGCATCAATAGATGATGTACACCATTGAACAACTTCTTCGCGAGTTCAAATCATTATATATTCTTCAGATAACAAGAATTTAAAATAAAAACTACTGAAGTATTTTGTATTAAATTAAAATACTTTCTTTATATATGCGAATCATAACATACTAACTAAGATAGTCAATACGTGTCTGTTTTGCTTCAACATAAATAAAACAAAAAGCGAAGGATGTTCTCTTGACTTTCCTATTCGAAGGATAGCGTTAATTGATTGAAGTAAAAACCGAAGGCCAAAGTAGCCCATGTATACAATTGGTCTTTACGAAAAATAAAGTAAATCAATGAATGCGAGTCCATGTTTTACCAGTGTCAGAATAGTACAAGCTAATGTAATAGGTATGACGTGTCTATCAGCTGTATCGTTTAGATTTTGGAAATGAATTCAGTGAAATAATCGTAGTTTACCTGATCCAAAATTAGGCAACTGTACTAAAATTTTATTTCGATTTGAATACAAGCATGGAGATATTTTCACTAGTTTTTCCTTAAGAGACAAGTCGACTTGTCTTTTGACTACTTTTTTCTGATCAATGTATCGTCTTTCAAATTCATACCCTTGGATGAGTCGAGTTGTCCAAAGGCTTTATCATTTTTGTTTGTTAAGCAGCAGCATTTTTCGTTGAAAATAAAATGATAAATTTAAAGTAATTTCTGACTCATCTAACTAGATGTGAGTTAATTTTTTTTAAATGAGAGAATTTAACACAAATAAACGATAATATATTAGTTTAAAATAGATGCATCGAGTCCAAGAATTATATTCTTTTTATGTAAAAGAGTTTAATGTTCTCGGATGCAGAAATATAAGATGTTTCAATATCAGAATCGAACATAAAACATTCAATCTACAATCTGAAAGAATATTTTTCTACAAATGTATTTCAGAAATATTCTTGTTTATCTACTGACTTATATATTCCTGACATACTCAATCAACATATTAGGGTACTTCGGTCTTCGGCGTTCGCTTCTGCCGTTGCCTTAATCAAACATTTTGTAAGTAAGATCTTGGCCAAGATCTTGGGTACTGATATGTGATCAGATATTGAAAATTTAGGAACAAGATAATCGTAATATCTGGTACCAAGATCTTACTACAGAACTTAGGTAATAATCCATAAGATCTTGGATGACGCATTCTGAAAGCATATTTTAATGCCCAGGTCGAGCAATCATATTGTAAGATCTTATCAGATCTTGCATCTGATCTTATATGATCTTATACGATCGTACAAAAATCATACAAAAAATCGTAGTTCCTGAGATCTTAGATCAGGTCGAACAATCAGATTCTTCGAAGAGCGTATTAATGTGTCAGATCTTTCAAGAATCTGATTGTACGAATTGATCTAAGATTTCAGGAACTACGATTTTTTGTCAGATTCTTGCAAGATTTTGCCCGTATTGCAAGATCTTGCATGTGTTTCATAAGATCTTGTATCAGATTTTTCGACCTGGGATATTTTTTCAACCCAGGGCGAGAAATCAGACAGCAAGATCGGCCACAGATTCTTATCTGATCATATCGGATCTTACATCATTATCGTATAGGATCATGTAAGATCCGACGAAAAATCGTCGTCTCTGAAATCTCACATCAATAATTACGGTAAGATTCTTGTATGATTCATCAATAAGATCTTATATGACCAGATAATATTGGAGACTAAGCATTCCGTTGTTTTATTGTGAAAATTGGTGCCATTAGTGATTGCATGGTTCTATATGTCAATGAAGAATCAAGTTAACCTCACTTCACTAGGAAGAATTTTATTTTTGAAGGAAATATAGATTCCAAAAAGCTGGACCATATCATTAATGATTAAAACGAAAAAAGAGAAACACCTAACTTAATGGGGAAAGGAGGCTCGGAAAACAATCTATAACGTAAAGAATAGTCTCAAAGAGAGAGAAAAAACTAGAGAACTATACTCTTCAACCTCCATAGATCTCCTAAATAATAATAAAAATGGCTTTTAAAAACTATTTGAGCTATATACTTGGAACAAAATTTCTACTATCTGTTACGAGAGGTAGTAGAAGAAAGACGATTTTCAAACGTGAATAAGGCTTAGACGTAAAACGAAATTATCTGTCTGTCAAAACATATAGTAGGGAAAAAGCGACTTTTTGAAGTATGTTATGTGCGGGAATCAATTCTAAGGCATTTTTGCTTTTGCTGTAACTGAGCGGTATTTATTGTTTTAGACCTGATTCCTTCACCATTAAACAGGTCGTATTATGGACTATGTAGCCTGAAAACATTTTCAATATCACATGTGTTTTGGATTGTTTATCAGCTAAACGGTTTTTTTCCCAGCGCACATAATATCAAGACATTTTTCAGTATTTCCTATTCATTTACTGAACAATTTCAGTTTAAAACAGTGAAAGAAACATCAGTCGGTGAAGAATTTTATGCTCTACATTTCAAAAACCAGTTTTGCCCATTCAAATTTTGTTTTTCTTCGTGTCAGCGAAGAATGTGAATGTAAAATGGTTATGTTATCACTCTCAATGCCTACTACACTCTAAAAAATCGGCTCTTTACTGAACCTACAAAAAAGGTTCCAGAGATTTCTAAAAGCATCTAAAGATGTCCAAAGTTTCAAAAAAAGGATAAAAAAATCTGCGAAACCTTTAAAAGCTCTTACGGTGTGCCCAGGATAAGAACCTTCTGATACGAAGCCTTTAGAGTTTCATATTAAAACCAAATGGTTTCGTACTAAACCCTCATGCTTTCGTAGATTTTGATACGAAACTCTAATGGTTTCGTATTTCCCCTACGAAACCTTTTTCTGCTCTACCGAACTTAAAAAATGGTTTCGTAGCAGAAGGTTCNGATGAAACAACCACACCCACACCCACACCCACACCCACACACCCACACCCCACAACCACAGCCACACCCACACACCCACACCCCACACCCACAGCCACAGCCACACCCACACCCACACCCAAAACTCGAGAGAGTCTACGAAACTATCAGTGGTTTGGTACAAAATATACGAAACTTTGACATGGATAATAAGATGGGAACCGTTCAGCTGAAAAAATACGAAACCCTCGAATGTTCTGCGAACTCAGCAATCGTTTTGCAGAAAATATTCGAAACCTTTTGACTGTTTCGGGACCCACCAATGGTTCCGTCGACATATTACGCAACCTTAAAGCTGACGAGAAAGTGTCGATAAGTTCCGCACAA